TAACCTACAGAATTTGAAGACAAAGGTACATCCCCTTCTCACCCACTTCTGAAACTGTGAGGAGTTAGATTATTAACTACACAAAGGCAACAAATTTTAAAAAATACAGAATTAAGTTGAAACATTTATTCATTCATTCCTGAGGTGAAAATTATGGAGTTGTAGAATCAGCTTTAATTTCCCTGCAGGATGAAAGCAAGAGAGGGAGCAATAACTGTAGGAACGCACAAAAACTTCACATGCTTTATCATAGCAAAAATAAGCAATTGAACATAAACCAAAATAATTGCAAGGTTTTTTCTCCTTTCTGCTATTACACTTTTTTCCTTTCCTCCTCATATTGTCTTTTTACTCAGCCTAGAAAGTAGTGCATCAAAAGTGCACATTTACAGTACTTACTCTCACCTCATATACATGAGAGCAATATATAGAATAGAATAGACCAGACCAGACCAGACCATTTCAGTTGGAAGGGACCTACAATGATCATCTAGTCCAAGGGCCTGACCACTTCAGGGCTGACCAAAAGTTAAAGCATGTTGCTAAGGGCATTGTCCAAATGCCTCTTAAACACTGACAGGCTTGGGGCATCAACCACCTCTCTAGGAAGCCCGTCCCAGGGTTTGACCACCCTCTCGGTAAAGAAATGCTTCCAGACATCCAATCTGAACCTCTCCTTGCTGCAGCACTGAACCATTCCCACGCATCCTGTCCCTGGATCCCAGGGACAAGAGCTCAGCACCTCCCTCCCCACCTCCCCTCCTCAGGAAGCTGCAGAGAGCAATGAGGTCTCCCCTCAGCCTCCTTCTCTCCAGACAAGACGAGCCCAAAGTCCTCAGCCGCTCCTCAGAGGACATGCCTTCCAGCCCGCTCACCGGCTTGGTTGTCCTCCTCTGGACGCGCTCAACGACCTTCACATCCTTCTAAAATGGTGGTGCCCAGCACTGTGCACAGTGCTCAAGATGAGGCCGCACCAATGCTGAATACAGCGGGATGATCCCCTCTTTTGACTGGCTGGTCATGCTGTGTTTGATGCACCCCAGGGTGCGGTTTGCCTTCTTGGCTATCAAGGCTCACTGCTCCCAACCACCACCCCCAGATCCCTTTCTGCAGGGCTGTTCTCCAGCCACTGGTCTCCCAGTTTATACTTGCGCCTGCCATTAATCCATCCTAGTTGCAGAATCCAGCATTTCCACTTGTGAAATTTCATCCCATTAATCACTGCCTAATGCTCCAATCTATCTAGATCCCTCTGCAAGGCATCTTGTCCCTCAAGAGAGTCAACAGCACCTCCCAGTTTGGTATCACCAGCAAACTTGCTAAAGATCCATTCAACTCCTGCATCCAGATCGTTGATAAATATACTGAACAAGACTGGCCCTAGAACTGAGCCCTGAGGAGCGCTGCTGGTGACCGGTCACCAGCCAGATGCAGCCCCATTCACTACAAACAACCCTTTGAGCTCTGCCCTTCAGCCAGTTCTTCACCCAGCGCACCGTAAACCACCTCATCCCACAGTTGGACAACTTGTCCAGAAGGATGCTGTGACGGACAGTTATCAAAAGCCTTACTAACATCCAGAAAAACTACATCCACCTCCTCCCTTTCATCCACTAGGCAGGCGACCTTATCATAGACGGATATCAAATTAGTTAAACACGGCTTTCCCTTTGTGAACCCATGTTGACTGTGCCTGATGATTACATTATTCTATAAATGCCTTTCAACAGTACCCAGTACAATCTTCCCCGCAATTTTTTACAGGAACTGAGGTTAGACTAACAGGTCTGTAGTTCCCTGGGTCTTCCCTCACACCCTTCTTGTAAATTGGAATAACACTGGCCAGCTTCCAGTCAGTAGGGACCTCCCCACACTCCCAAGACCCAAGAGTAGATGATAAAGAGGGGTCCTGCCATAACATCCACTAGTTCCTTCAGAACTCTATGGTTTAATTTATTTAAACTCAGGGAGATATTACAATTCCAGCAAAATCAAAACAAAGTTTAAATTTAAAGGGAAAATCAAACATTTTAGTATATCCAAAACCCCTTAAAGGTCGTATTTGCAGATGGCCCTGTAAGAGGGGCCACAAGCAAATTGGGAGGCAGAATTCAGAACAGTCTTGATAAATAAAACCATTTTGGAAGAAAAAGGGCAAACATAAATCTCCAATATACCGTAAGAATACTCACCTACATAAATATGGGATTTAAAAAATGGTCTATTCTGCAGAAAAGGATTTGTGGGTTACAATGAATCATAAATAAAGTGTGAGACAATGCTACTGTTGCAAAGAGTACCATATAGTAATACATGAACAGGGAGTGCCACTTGCAGACACTTGGGTAATGGTTATACTTCAGTATGTGCTAGTAAATTCTCAGCTGAAATACTGCCTAGCTTTGGGGACTGAACTTCAAGAAATATCTGGAGCACTTGGAGAAAACAGAAATAGACTAACAACGGTAACACTAACCTCCTTTCTGGAAAACATGATGCATGAAGAAAGTATGGAGGGACTGAAGTTAAAGAGGAGAGAAAGAGAGGAAAGAGTACATATGACAGACATGGCTGCAACTTTCAAACACATAATAGGTAACCATAAAGATTAATGGAAAGTTTTTCTCCATTTCTGGATAAGGCTGAAGGAGGAACACAGGCTATTTTGTCTAATGGGAGAAAAACTTCCTAATGATAAGCATCAGAAAAGACTGTAGAATATTTCCAGTGGGGCACATAGGGCTTAAGAATAAGACAAACAGCTGTAAGAAAATGCTTTATTAATAGTTGATCCGGGTCTGGATAGGGAAACAGAAAACTCCAGTCTTCCAGTCTACACTTCTGTACTTCTTATTGAGTGAAAAGAGTTGAATAAACATTAACACCTAACTCTAAAATGCAGAGATCATGACACTGTGCAGACACTACGGGCACAGTGCTGTCATTTCTCCAGCTATGGCTTAGCACACTGCTGTAGTCAGTTTTGCAAAGCATTATTCATATGGCTGGGGAACAGGAAATACAGTGGGGGTGTGTCACCAAATAATTACAAGCAGAAGTACTACCAACCTACTTTCTGGAGCAGGAATTCTGTCTCCTCCTCACCTACACAGTACCATGTATGCTCTGGTGCCATTTAATGACAATAATTGATCTTACTGCCTGATCTAGCAAAGGCCTTGGCCTTTTCTGTCCCCTTCATTCACAACGGTCTTTATACCTTCTTTTACTTCTCCTTCAGCACCCTGGGGGTCCAGCATCCATTATGCCAGTATCACATTCCTCTCTTCGTTAGCTTCACCTGAAGCTCATGAACTATAGCCCTGCAAACATATTCAGGCACTGAAATTCAACAGCTGAATTCTTCATATTGCTAAACAGTTAAAACAATCTTGGAGGAACTTTGGTTGGCCAACTTCCTCTCTGCCAAACAACTCGGGCACAGTTTGGGAGTTTCTGTGGGACGAATACCATTTCCAACAGGAAACTTCAACCCACCCTCTGCGCCCAGAAGGCAAAGACAGCTTAAGGGTGAGGACGTGGGTCATCTCACATCAACTGGCCTTGGTGTCAGAGAGCAAGCTGAGGCACGTTTGATGTACTACTACAGCCATACCCATTGTCCTGTGAGGCCCCAAGTAAGGAAACCATTATTAACGGCAGCTAGAATAGAAGCTGTTGCACTCAGCAACTGTCAATAAACAGACAGAAAAGGTATGTTCTCTCTGTTTCTTCAGAAGGGGACTCTTCAGGATGAAGTAATTCTGTTAATCAGTTCCCACTGCAGACCCCGGTTCCCACCAAAGGAGGAAGAAAAAGCCAGTGGTTGCATCTGTCTTGGACAGTTAGGAACTCTCTACTCACACAAACAGTGTCTAGCTGATACAATTACTCTAATCTAAGTAAAAATCTTGTATTTTTAGCCATAAGAATGTTAAACAGATACAGGAAAGCAACTAATCTAGCTCACTCAATCAGTAATATACATCTTTGACAAAAAGAAAATTTAGACTCTGAAGGTCTGATTTGAACCAACAAAGCCCAAGACATTCCAGTTAAAACTGATATTTCATTAACACAATTATGCCTTTTACTTTAAGAAATGGTTTGAGTTAAAGGTGAAATGGTAATGCTTACTCCAGGTTTCCTTAGGATTTTGTTACTTTACGTCAAATGCTTTAATTCACATAAGGTTTCTTGTGTTGAATTGTACTACAACTGTTTACTCAAGTGGCAGCAGCATACTCTGTGATAAATTAAATGGACATTTATCAAAGGTAAGTTGACAGGTTTAAATGTTAAACGTAAGCATTGCAAGACAAGTACAAATAGTGTCTACCTGAAGGTTACATATCCAAATCACTGGATAGATATTTTAATTAACTTCTGCACAATAAAAAACATTTGCTTCTGAATTGTTGAAGAACATTTCCTGAGAGAGGAAGATACAAAATGTCATGCAATATATTTTTAAGTAGTGTTTACATAAAAATAAAAATCGAAAATCCTTCTTCCCATACAACACAGGCAAGAAAGAGACAAGTACTGTTTAGAAACGTAAATCTTGGGGTCAGGATTTAAAGTTAAGCAAACAAATTAAGAGAGTTCCATCAGATAGAGGCATAACACATGGGTAGAGAGGTTTTCGTTACTATATCTCATTTTATTCTTAATACATTGAATTATGATCTAAGAACACAAACATGTAGCCACCTCAGGTTCTGAGGGAATTTTGAGGAAGCCTAAAAGATGAAGACATACAATAGTCATTGCTAAACAATAGGAACAAAATAGGTAATAGACTTTTCATTTCTTAAATCCGTCTTGCCTGTCGTCTTGCCCAACTAACAGTAATTCTTAAAGCAACAAGCTGGGAAACAGAAGCAAGCTGCAAACCCACAGGAGCACAATGCTAAATGCCTTCTCATCAATGCTTCACCTTTCAAGCCACTGAAGCATTTGGACACTTAAAATGCTAATAACTTAAAGATTTTACTCACAGTTAAAACCAGGTTCAATAGTTTTTCCAGCTTCAAGACTGTTTATGGTAATCTGAAAGATGATGTGCAGCAGCAGAAATGATAGACTGGTGAAACACAGAGATTTTAATAATCGTCCTGTATGCCCTAAAAGACAAAATATACATACATATAGTTGGTGAATTTCTAAACACTGCTTAAAAGTTTTCAGTATAAAACCAGTAAAAATATCCTGACCAAGGATATTTCTACAAGTCAGTTCCAGATTACTCATGATTGTCCCTTAAGGGTCAAAATCATAGCAAAAACCATATTTAAGTTGGTTGTGTCTTTGAGTACTCTTTAATCACAAATCCCAATGACTGTCATTACCAATATTTCCTTTTACTTTTTGGATTTAAAAAAAAAAAAAAAAGTTTCTCAAGTCTCCAGATGGCAATTTTACATCAATAATAACATCACAATGCTTATCACCACATTACCTGGTACAAAGACAAAATATGGATGCTACTTCCAATCTGGAGAAAATAAAAACTTGTTAATCTAATTACTCTTTCCAAAACAAATTACTTGGGAGGGGGGGATAATGCCACAAAAGCCTCAATTTGGCTTGGGAGTATATACATACTTTCAAATGAATGCTTTGCTTTGTGCAGACTGCCCTCTTTCTCCTCCTTTAGAAGTTTTTGAAAATAATTTTCAGTACACACCAAAGAATCCTGTGCCAGATATACTTTCTCATAGTTCCTCTATGATTTACTGGATATCTATAGCCAAAAGCCAATAGAAAATGTTTGACGAGGACTTAGAAAATGCCTTATAAATCCTCTAGGAAACACTCAGCTTAATCACAGGCAGCCAAACTTGCAAGGTATGAATAAATAAAGTAAACCGTTAGTACTTCAGAAAATATGCATCTTCAAGAGTAAGTTGTATTGCTGAAAAAAGACAACATTAAATATCACCCTACCTTACCTATCTGCAAAAGTTCTATTTCCAAAGTATTTTATACCTAGATTTTACATGACCTGCTTCATGCATTTGAGAGTAATTTTTGTATTTACAGATTAAAAAAACCAGCACTGCTGGAATTCTTACCCAAGGCTACAAATAAAGCCAAGGCTATGGAGAGCAGAACTAGCAGAGTATACCTGGGAAATGTTGACTCTACATGCAGCCTGTTTCATTCTTACTTAATTCTGCATGTGTCTGTTATGAGCAACTACTAAAAAGAAGACGACGGTTCATATTCTGTATCTAGCCAGTAAATCAGCTTTTTGCTTTATATTTGTTATAGTTCAAGCTTGTGACCCATGGCCCGAATGGTAGTTTATAAAGCAAAGAATCAGATAAACATGATTCAACAATTTTAGAAAAAGTTATAGACTATCTCACTCCATTAGACTCAAAACTTTTGTTATATGATCACTATCTTGACTGTAAATTTTGAATACCAAATGCCTATAATGAACTTCCCCCCCCCCCTTTTTTTAAATAAGAAATTAGACAATTCAAACAAAATATAAAATGACAAGAATGAGCCTATGTAAGAATTTCTGTGATCTGAAAAGATACATTCACTAGATATGTGCTTTGTATGACCTAGTCACTAGTCTTTACTGGTAAGACACCAGAGTCTACACAGAAAGCAGACAACCTGGGCTCCAGAGCATTAAAAAACCAAAGAATAGATTTTAAATTCTTTGGATCAGAGGTCATTTTTCATTCCTCTTCTACAGAGGCTGGCCTGATGTCCTGGCTTAGGACAACCACCTCTAAGCACTATAAAAGCATAAGTAACAAAACCCCTCATATTTTCAAAATCATTAAAAGCATTAATATATCACAAGCTGCATGTTATTAAATCATTTGTTAAATGTGATGTCATATGAAATGCAATCCAAGGACTGCTAGCTTTTACAATTTTTTGGCAAGTTTCAGTATTTGGTGGTTTGTTCCTGCATTACCAGATCCCATGCTCATGGTATTATGTGAGCTGCATGTTCAGAATATACTAAAAAATTACGTATCTCAAAGCTGGAGACAAACAGTTTAACAACACAAACTCCATGGACTTAACAGCTCTGTTAAAATGTACAGATTTTAAAGACAGCCTGGTAATTTCTGAAGTTCTGAGTCACAAACTCTCCTCAATGCTCAAGAGTTAACAATTCAATAGATATCAATCACTGATTTTTTCATATAGAAGTGGATTTGGAAGTTTTTTGATAGAATCGTTTCAGTCAGCCTCCAAAGGAAAAAAAAAAAAGCAATACAATTAGCGCACATTCATTTCCCAAACTGTTTCCACATAAAGAAATAAAACTATTAAAAATCTTGGGTCCATCTTTCACTATTTCAATGGCCATGTCTCTCCAAAATTTATCTAAATTTTAGACTTCATTTTTTAAATCTTGAAAACAAACATATTTAAATTGTAGATTGAACAAAACATTTCTTTAACAAAGCCTTAACTTTTCCAATTGTCTTCCTTTTAGGAACTGTAGAAAATGTTGAAAATATATTTCTCAAAATGCTGAAATGTTGAAAAAAGATCTCCTCCTGCACAAAGCTAGGGAAAATTTTAAAGGACTATTAACACCCAAGATAATAAATAGTCTCTCAGTGTACTGGTAAATATGGCAGGGGAAACACACAGCTGGAAGGCAGCTAGACATGGGCATTGCAGGTTACAGCATTCCTCAAGGGCTGTTCCCTTCATGGCCATCAGTGGGACAGGACCACCATCAATGCTACTGAGGAGCCCTTTGCCTGCACCACATTCAGCTGTGCCAGCAGAAACTAGACACAAGAAGTATTTGGAGAAAAGTAAGAAATGCTATGCCCCTGATTTCAAAAGTTTTGGAGAGACATCAACAACTTGGGAGAAATGGGAGTACTAAAAATCAGTGAATTACTGGATACATAATTTATGCCAAGAAAGAAGTGACAGATTTGGATAAGTGATGAGTTTCAATTTATAGTGGGGTTTGGATAAATCCATTTGACGGTATTTTTACTTACTTTTTTTTCTTTCTGCTGGAAACAGTTCTAAATTACACAAAGAAAAAATTAACTGTATGTGTACAGAACTGAGATGATGAGAATAGAGACAGCTGAAATTAAACTCCTGAAATAAAATAGAGCTTCTTACGATGAGGAAGAAAGATTTTTGTCATACTTCTTTAATTTTCATTTATTCTAATTCACTCACAATTACAACCTGTGCTGACAGAACAGACACACAAGAGGACATTGCCCCAGCACACACTGAAAATCACAACACCGATTCCTTAATTCTGTCTTAGATGTACAGACGTGTGTATGTCCATTAAGGCTAAAATAAGAAAAATCTTCTGGCAAAACACCTGGGTTTGTAGCTTGTATGCTGGGTTCTGATTTTACTCACACCAGCGTGGTGCCACCAGCTTCAGCAAACTGTGGGGGGTGGAAAGGAGAGAGCAGATTTGCCTCAGAACTGGCCTGAAAGACGAAGAATAGTGGGTTTGCTTTCAGGTGCAGTGTGTCATTCCTAATGGCACCCAGTGGGACCAAAACCTGGCATATGGCTTTAGAAACGTACCCCGGTGTGTCCCAGAAACACACAGGGAGGCTGCTCCAGACTCCTTGTCCCTCCAGACGGCTCCTGGGAAAGGGCTTTCCCCCCTCCGATCAAGCCTACAGGAAGCTGGTCAGGATGCAAAGGCTTCATTACCCTCTTTCTCTCCAGACCAGCTGCAACACTAAACTGGACTCAAGAGGGCCAAAAGCTTTTCACACATGGCAGAGAAATCCATTTCTTATTTTTCAAAGGTAATCCAGCCAAGAGCCGGATTAGTGATGGCATGTCCCCCCCAGCCACAGGCATGTAACCTCAGTACAACTATTTGAACGTGTCTGACTAGGACTGCTGCTTTCAACAAACACATGCACCTCCTGACTGCCTACATCAAGATTGTACGCAAAGGTGGAGCCTGCTGCCCACTTCGTTTCCAACACAGAAAAACAGTACATTTGTGTTTAGAAAGGCAGTCCTGTGATCTTTTCTGCTACCCTTTTCCCTCCAAACAGCAGAGCATGACAGAATTTAAATTTTTTGTATGCCTGGAACTTCCTAAGAGCTTCTTCCAAAAGGGTGTGCTAATAGGACATCGGATAACTGAATGACCAATTGTCACTGAGACCTGCTTAAAAATCACATATATTAGCTTTTAAAATATAATCTGACCACGAGACTTAGGCTACTGCAAAGAGTCTCAACATATCATATGGTATCACATCACACTGTATTTCCAGTTCCTTGCAAGGTGCATTTTCATTCCACACTATTTTTTTTCTCTTTCTGATCTATTGTATGGGGCACAACAAAAAATCAGTTGAGTCTCTGCCAAAGTTAATAATACTGCTAACAATTTATCCTGATTTTTTAATAAGAAGTACTAAGCATCTATATGCAGAAGGTGATAAGTTCAAAGGGTCAGTATCCATTCTGCATGCCATAATGGTATCAGGAAAGGGAAAACAGAGGATGAAAATAATGGATTCTAAAAATTAAAGACCATTTACTATTCCAACAGTGTAATCCTTTCATCATAATCATATGTATGCTGCATGGTTTCACCTAAAAAGTAGCTTTAAGAGTGTTTGGGTGCCTCATTTGAAGCTTTTACTACTTTGCAGTGGGATTTTTTTGTTAAATGTTACCTTATTGTTGCATTTTCTGAAGTCAGTTGGGTTTTGGATAATTCTAACACCTCTTTAGCCATACATTGTACCCGAAACTGCTGCAACACTTTCAATTCTACTTCAACAGTTTTGCTTGGGAATTTTTTTTACACAACACTTTTTATTCAGATCACAGCAGATGAAATACCAAAGCACATTTCATTTTTCACATAATCTTTGACAGCATACAGTGAGTGATAAACATTAATGTGCATTTATCTCCTGAACTAGTGACACTTCAGTTAATAAACATACTGTATATCAGCCATTCAGGATTTATTTTTTAATAATCCTCTTCATCAGTAAGTGACAAACATAGAACTAAAGAGCTCTGGGGATGAGGCGTGGTTGCAGTAAACTTCTGCAGCACAGACTGGGTCAGTCCCACAGAATTTGTTTCAACTAGAAATCTTAAAATCTTA